CATTACAATTTTTTTTTTAAAGAATTATTGATTAATTAAGATATATAAAATTGACAAATATTGTTTTTATTTATATTATATGTAATAGTTATTTAAAATAATCAATTAATGTAGTTTTTTTTTCTAAAACTCTTTATTTGGTTACATAAATCCTAATCTTAATTAATAGTCAAGTTATGTACAGGGTTGTTGTGGGAAAAAAAATTGGTAGCTACTTTTATAATGTAGCTTTTGTATATTTGGACCCGAATATGAATGTTTGTATTTCTTGATATATAAAATATTTGGTTATATACAAATATGATTCTGGATGTAACTTATGAATGATGTGAGTTAATGAACAATTATTATACATGGGTAACTTATGAACATTGTTCATCAATAAAAATATAGCATATATAAACATGTTCATTAGTGAATATATACCTGAATGTATACGTATGTATGATTGCTGAACACTCAAGTTGTCGATGTAAATAATGTTCATTATTGAACATTGAGTACACGTTCATGCATGTTGACTGCTACTATGTTCATATTGATCATTCATATTATATAATACACCAGACACAACGAAATCATTCAATTAAGCATGTTGACTATTGAAGTGTTAATTATTATTTCTCAAAATACATTCACTTATGAATAATCACAAACAATATAACATACAATAAATTGATAATTTCAAAATGGCTAAATTCAAAGAGTAATGTAACTCTCATTTAAATGCATTAAAGTAATACAAAACATGACCTTACTATTTTGCCCTCATTCATTAATTACATAGAAATCTATGCACCATAGTACTATATTGATTACTATTGTTTTAAAGAGTTTTTATAGTTAATACAAATGAATTGGTTAACAAAAGATCACACCTTTATATATATATATAGGGTTGGGTTCATGTGAGACCAAAGGTTTTTAATGAGACCCGTAAGACCAATTTATGTTCATTGATCAGCTTTATAAGCTAATGATCTAATGGTCTAAAGTTGCACGGTGACAATTTTGTGATTATTGAAAAGTCTCGTGGTGTTTATGAATATTCAGATTGTAGATCTAATCCAAGGGTTGAGAATTAGTCTTACGGGTCTCATAAAAAACCTTTGATATCACATGATCCCAAGTCTATATATATATATATATTCTATTTTTCACATAATTATAATATGTTTTTAAAATTGAATTAAAGACATAATATAGTTCTTTAATTGTATCAAATACGTAATATATTCATTGAAACTGAATTTTTGAAGATAGACTTTAAAATAAGAATCAAAACAAATCATGTTGATTTTATGTTAATATAATTTGCCTGATTGGTTTGAGCTTAATTTCAAATATCAAAAATACCTGAAGGTCTCATGTTCAAATTCAAAGAGGAATAAAAATCTCCTTGTAGCCATGAAGGTTTAAATGCAGTGACTCCGAACTATTTGTAAAGCAGATGGTCACTCTAGAATTAGTTGGCTCACATATCAGGTTGGATATTCAGGTTAATAAAAAAAAGCATAACATTTTTAAGAAAATATTCTCTTGACATTTTCATTATTGATTTTTATTAATATAAATAGATTGTTAAGTATCTTTTAAGAAAAATGAAAAATTTAATCAACTTTCTCATTTTAAATGATTTAATATTAACATTTTTGTTAATGAAAACCATTACACTTTCTCTTTTTTGAATGATTTAACCTTTTTTTTTACTGAAAAAACCATTTAACTTTTTTATTTTGAGTGATTAAGTCTCAGAACATTTTTTAATAAATAAAGGGAAAAGTTCAAAATAACCCAACAAACTTTTCAATTTTGAATGATTTAGTCCATGAACTATTTTTTTAATGAAAAAGTTGTGTTTCCCACTTTAATGATCAATCTTCATAAATCAACAAGAACAATGACAATCTTCAAAAAAACATTAATAACACTTGAGAGGAAAAGTCAACGTGGTCAATGTATTATATCTCTCTCAATTTACTTAGTATTACAATAAAGCTCCTACTTTTTCTCACCTTACAAAATACACTAGACAAGACCTACTTATAGGTCAAACTATAAAAGTACAAGTCAAACCTTCTACAAATACAAATATAAAATCTTTACGATTACAATTTAACTCTAAAATTCAATTCCAACAAAAACTATTAAATTTTCTCATTTTGAAAGATTAAGTTTCTGAACTATCTTTTTGAATTAAAAAATCATTGAACTTTCTTATTTTGAAAGAAAAAACCATTAAACTTTTTCATTTTGATTAATTAAGTCATTTAACTTCTTTTTAGTAAAACGTACTTTTAAAAATTGGTTACCTAAATTCTTTTAACAAAAAAAAAGTTCATATTAACTGACTAATGAAAGGTCGATGGTTTATTCATTTACAAATATTCTAAGTCTTAATTATTTATAATGTAAAAATTTTAATGATTTTTTCATTAAAAAAATAGCTCAGAGACTTAATCATTTAATGTGATAAAGTTTAATGGTTTTTTCATTTAAAAAAATAGTTTAAGAACTAAACATTCAAAATATGAAAGTTTGTTGGGGGTTTTTTTGGACTTTTAAAAGTTGGTTAAAACAATTTAGATGATCAATTTTCAAAAGTTCGATAGTTTATTTATTCAAAAGTATTTAGAGACTTAGGTGGCGTTTGTTTTTTAAGAGGTGCTGAAGTCTGAAGTCTGAATTCACTTCTGATTTTTAAGAGGTGGTGCTGAAGTCTGAAATCTGAATCAATCAGACTGTTTGTTTTTTGCATCTGAAATCTGAAGTTTGAAGATGAGAGATCGAGAGTTGATATGGATTGACAGTTGACAGAGTGAGAGATGAGAGATCGAGACAAAAGAGTTGATCCAGAGAAATCGAGCGTAAAGAGATCAGAGTAGGTAGACGACAATTTGAAATAAGAGGTAATAAGAGGTTTCTCAACCACTTAAATTTTCAGACCTAATAAGAGCTTTTAAGCTCTTAATTAAAAAAAAAAAAAAACACATTGAATCCTCTTATGTCTGACCGATTCAGACTTAAGAGGACATTAAGTGTTTTTTAATTAAAAACAAACAGCCCCTTAATAATTCAAAATGAGAAAACTTACTGATTTTTTCATTAAAAAAATAATTCAAAGAATTAATCATTAAAAATAAAACATTTAGGGGCTGTTTACTAAACACTTACTTTGTAAGTACTTACCGGATAAATTTTCTTATCGGATGAACATGAGAAGGGTCAAGAATCTTACCGGGTAAGAGCAATGAGAATGATGAAGAGTCTTACCCGTTAACTGAGAATAACGACTCTTACCCAGGTAAACGCTTACTCACTAAATTGTTGCATTCGATATGTTTTGGTATACAAAAATCTTATGCATCAAAATAAATCTTAGTGTTGACTCTTATTGATAAACGCTTACCGAGTAAGCAATTGGATAAACAACCCCTTAATATAACATATATAATCATTATTTAGTCCCAATGAAAAATCTATTACCAAACGAGAATAATATAATCAATAATAAAGACATTGTTTCATTTAAGCAAACTATATATATATATATATATATATTTATTAAATTACTAATTAATATTATTAAAATCAAATAAATGATACTGTTTTTCCTTCATAAAATCGATTTATAAATCCCTAAAATACATCACAATTAATTAAGGGGGTGTTTGGGATTGCTTATTTGAAACAACTTATACTTTTCTACAAAAACACTTATCAACTTATTATAAGTCAGAATGATTTAATTTCTTCAAAAACTTTTTATTACCGGTTTGACACCGGTATAAATTGTTTATCCAAACACTCAAAAATACTTATTACTAATATCACACCGGAATAAATCAAAGTTGTTTTATAAACAATCCTAATCACCCCTAAATATACCATTTATAACCAGGTCTTGTTACATTCTGCAGCGGTTTAAAAACACACCTACAGATTATTGCCTGCAAACCCGCTTCTTGATGTAGTGGACCTAACCGTTTAAATACACACTTTTATGTCATATATATATATATGGTATATATATCCTTACACCTCTATTTTATACACTCACAGATATATATATATATATATATATAATATATATATGATATATAGAACATATCCTTCACTCTCTCTTTTCTCGCTTTTTCTCGTATATCTTCCTCTCTCTCTTTCTATGTAAATATACATATACATATATATATATATATATGTGCTCTATGTATATATATGTATATATTGTATTCTCTGCTTAAACAAATTATCATAGCTTCTCCACTTTGTTTTACACACTGAGTTCATACATATTTGGATTTACAGATATGTTTGAGTTCATGTTTGGATGGAGAAAAGCTTCAAAATGGTATATCATTATCATCTCTCTACTGCACTTTTTATATCTAATAAGATTATATATATATATATATATATATATTCATGTGGAGATGAATGCCTGCATGCAGCAAGAAGTTAATCAAGAAGGTTGGGTGTCGTTTGAATTTGCTGAAGAACAAGAGAAGTTATATCGTTAGACAACTGCGAAACGATGTCGCCCAACTCATCAAACATGGCCATTACCAGACTGCTTTCGATAGGGTACGTTTTTTTAATAGTTCCATTAAAAGACAGTCTTTAAATCGTTAAGAAATGAATCTTGTTTGATAAAAAAAAAAAGTTTCTCTCTTAATAATTCTAAAATTTTCTGAATGATTTTGCATACTGGACCTTCCTTAACCGTTCAACGTCTTAATTTCATTGTAAACAATTGTATTTCATTTTACATTATGTTATAAGAGTCTTTATGACTTAATCATTCTACGTCAAACCATTCAGCAATTATAACTACTGATTTCATTATGGAATTTTCAGGTAGATCAAATTTACAAAGATGAGTGCATTGTTGCGGTATACGAGCTATTGGCTCTTTTTTGCGATTTTATTACTCTTCAATTTTCCTATATTCGTCGTAACAAGTACGTATAAACATATACATACAACATCGTATAAAATTTTCCGTACTTCTATTTTATTAATATTTTATTTACGGTTTTTGGGATTCAGAGATTGCCCTAATGACATTAACGAAGCAATATCAAGCCTCATTTTCGCATCCGCGAGATGCGGGAACCTGCCCGAGCTTATACAGATACGAAAACTATTCAGTGAGCGATACGGGGAGCGTTTCGAGACCACGGCCCTCGAGTTACTTCCGGGAAATCTTGTCAATTTTCAGGTTATATATTTCGATTTTTATTTCGAATTATATTTGGAAAGTGGAAATCGTATCAAATTAACATCAAAAAGTTGTTCAGATTATCGAAAATCTATCAATCACGAACGTACCAAATGAAGCCAAGTACAAACTGCTTGAGGAGATAACTACAAGCGTTCAACAAACTGGACCATTGGCGTTGGAATTTGCTTCTGAAGTGCATCAACAGGTATACTTGCAACTGCAGGCAACGAACCGCAATGCTAATCAAGCTATTCCGGCCACCGGAAATCGATTTGACTTTGACCATTCCGGCGTGGACACAGATCCATCGATGACCGATCCTGATGACACCGATTCCTCATCGGAAAATTCAACTGTTAATGTGCCTGAAGAAATTGTTTATCTCGACGACATTGTGGAGTTCCAATCTCCGTTGAACAGCGGCAAAAATGAAATAGATCAAAGAGTTTTCGTTTTCAGATCATCTGCTAAAACGTACGAATTTAACGATTTCAGTATCGAGCGTTCTGAACATCTGAGAGACGGGACAGAGGTGACGAGAAGATCGACGGAAAGACCGATTTCATCAGCAATTGGATGCTCCGGTTACAGAAAAAGATCGCCATTCTATCAAAATTTTAAACGGACAGGGGATATGGGAAGTCGTAGGGATTATTATCCGAGAGCAATGAGTATGCCTTGTATGCGTTCGACGAAATGTGTAGATGACAATGGTGTAATGAGGTCGAATTCGTTACCGGTTGAACCATCTCCGCCACATGTTCACCCCAAGCTCCCGGACTACGATGAGTTAGCTGCCATGTTTATGGCTCTCAAGAAAGAGCATTTGCAAAACCATAAGTAGATTTCGCGTTCGAGGTAATCGTTTTGTTCAATCTTGTTAACTGAATTTGTTCGAATTTCGTTTAGTTCAAGTTTGTAAGTTGAATTGGTTCTCTCTGTTTCCCTCTCTTCTCATTCTTCTTTTCTTTCTTCCTCTCTCTTTCCCCTCGGGTGCCTTGTTATTCCGGTGGTTGAGGTTTCCTCCCGCCCGAGCACGTTATTGTTGCTTTTAGCGTTTTAGTGTTTTGCCTTGATCTGGAGGGGTCTCCCCCCTCCCTATAAAAAAAAATTGAATTGGTTACTGGTTTATTTTTGCTTCGATACTATGGGTCTTAGGCTACCTATACGGACCCACAATTTTTTTCAAACGGTGACATCATTTGACTATAAGAAAAAACTAGTGGGAAAAAATTTCAAATAATGGCACCGTTTGACTATAATAAACAAATATATATAATTTTTTCAATCGGTGACACAACAGATTAATACAGTTGCACATTTCACGAATAAAATCGTATTATAGCATTGATACCGACAAATAATAAAATAAAACATTAAATCAAGATGTATTTGGCTACATTGCATGAATACCTTTCGAGTATATTGATTTTTTAAATTCATATGGGATTTCATAGTGATTTTAATAATAATTATTTAGATTAAACAAATATTTGTTTCTAAAAAAAATGAATTGATTTTCGGTAGATCATAAGAATTGCAAAAAGAAAAGAAAATCAATTTTTTGCTATTTTATAATCATATTTAATTGGTTTTTAAGTTTTTTTTTTAATTTTAGTTATTGACATGTATCTTGGATTAAAACCACCTAATTGTTATTAATTTTGAATCATTGTTTGTTATTATTAGTTAGATAAGTTCATTTGCATTAAACTTAGGTGGTGTTTGTTTTTTAAGATGTGCTGAGGTTTGAAGTTTTATTTTACTTCTGATTAATAAAAGGTGGTGTTGAAATCTGAATCAATAAAACTGTTTGTTTTTGTAAACTGATAAATGTCTGAATTTGTTTAAATTATTTATTTTATTCATTAGAAAATTATAATGTTAAATTTATATAGTTTCACATATTTATTCATTATCATTACGAAATTTACATCTAAATCATATAATTAGCATTCATTTAAACAAAAAAAATCATTAATAGTATTTAACACATTTATATTATATTAAAAATACATTAATTGAGACTGGTGATGATTGATTTGGAGTATTGATTGAAAGAAATGATCGATTAGGTTTGAGAAACGTTGTTGCTAAGAGTTTTGAGAACAATAAGAGACAAATAAGAGATTGGTTTACCTCTTCTCAGATAAGAGGTGAACAAGACATAAATATCTCTGAAAAATTAGAAAAAATAAACAGTCTGAATGACCCTATCGCTTAATTAATCAGACATAAGAGACTAATAAGAGGGTTTTTTTTTTTTTGAAAAAACAAACAAGGTTTTATTATTTACTTAAGCATGATTAATTAGCTTATAACATTGAAATATTTATTTAGTTAATATAATTATATTAATATTATTTATTTATTTAAGACACTGATTTATTTTAGACCATTTAAATCAGACTATTATATTATTATTATATAGAAATTAGAAAAGTATTCGTGCAATGCATCGAGACACATTTTCATTTTAATGTTTCATTTTATTTTTTTATCCATGTCGATATAATACGATTTTATGTGGTTTTGAGAAAGTGATAATGTTTTTATTTTTAAATAAAATATAAATTTGAAAATATCATATGAAGTTTTCAAAAAATATATCAATATTAATATCAAATTAACTATCTAAAAGTTCTTGTTTGTATATGTTTTTTAATTAAATTTTTTATTATAATTTAATGTAACGTAACGAAGTAACTTAATTTAGGTTTAATATACAATTTTTTATAAAGATAATAATTAAGTATTCTGTTAGAACTCAATATTTATCTTAATTATATTTTAGATTTTTGATATTTTATAATGAGATGTTTATTCTTTATTTGATTGTATTTATCCGCAATTAGTTACACGAATTCAAACATAGAGCTTTAATAAGTTGTACTTATGCATAATTTATTTGTAATATTAAATTTTAAGTAATATACATCAATAAACAATACTTTATGCATAAAAAATAATTTTAAGAATTTTTGTCAAATGTTTTATAATATAGTATAGATTATAATTGATTTTTTTAAATGTTTATTTAATTTCTTAAATTTATTATTCTACACAATATTGAAATGTTTATATAATTTATAAATCATCCATATCTTACAAATAAATAAATAATTTATTTTTGTACATAATAAATATTCCAAAATAAACAAGGAATTTAAGATAAATATGCTTGAAATTTTCTAATTTGTTAATTATTTTTGGAAATTATTTTTCCAACCCTTACCTTTTGGCCTACTGCCAAAAAAAAACTTAAAAAATGTGTATTAAATTATCCAAATTTGATATCATCTCTTGGTCTGATGTCAAAATCATTAATATTATCTATCTTTTTATAGATAATTAATCATAAGATATTGAAAGGATTTTGTCAAACGGATGCAAATAACCCTAAGCTTTGTATGAACTTAAATAATCCATGTTATTCCCTTACTATCTGGAAATCCAATAGATTGAGTGATTAATTTCTAAAATTGAAATACTGATAAATTATTGTCAACAAAATGTAAACATGCAAAAATCCAATATTGTTATGATAATAAACTTTCATGCATAAAAAATGATTATAGATCACGATTCATTGATTTAGAAAATCATATATTCTTCATTATTTATTACCATAAGATAGGTTTGGAAAAATACAAGCAAATATGTAAAAACCATCAAAATATATTGACCCTAAAAGTCAACTGTTAAGGTACAAGTAAATACCTTGAAATTTTTGAGACGACACATCAATCACAACCTTCATAGATAATATCGTTAACTAGAATCCCCTAGAGCTACTGGACGTCCTGAAAAGGAAAATCAAAAGTATTCATTATCATGTACTTCCCAAACTAATCATATGGTGGAATGAAACTCACTCGATAACAACAAGATGATTGAATTAAAACAAAATAAATATTTTAAAATAATTATATTCTCAACCCACTACTCAAAACTCTTCAAACTAATTATTTCCTAAATCTTCAACTTCGCTTAAATATATTTTCTTCTGTAATTGAAATCATTGTATTCTCAACCTACTACCCGAAAATTTGAAGTCCGGGCCCCGTGGATACGATCTCGATATATTACCACTGTATTACTTGTAGCTATCACAGTGTCGGTATATGCTTGCATCGTCACTGTGGGAACATTGTGCCCACTGTGTGGACATACACGTTTTCCCTCTGTCACTAACTATTCATCTTCTTTTGGAAAAAAATATGTAATAATACCAATTTATTACTGAAGAATGAAAAACCAGTTATGTTCACTATTAAGATATTAAACTATTTGTGTTATATGTTATACGTTGTATTTTAACTTTTTATTCTTATTAAGAAATTAATCACGAGAGATTACGAAACATTCATTTAACGATGCAAATGTTATATTGTTGTTATTTGAATCTTGTTTATAACTATTTTACACTTCCACACTTTTAAGGTTTTATTTTTTTTACTTAATAAGTAATGTAATCAGTAGGAGATCTATAAATTTTGGTGATGAAGGTCGTAATATCAGTAACTTTTGTTAGATCAAATATTATTGATCCGAGATCACATTTCTAAGAGGTGGAATAGAATAACCCGGTTGAAGCGTAATGATCATACGTCTGTAATGCATTGTCTGTCCCATAACGGGTCTCATTCTTCTAGCCTTTCCCTGAAGTCGATGACTATTCATCTCGATTACCTTGACAACAAGAAGAGTTCGACCCAATGCTTTATTACTGTCCTAGTTGATCCTGATTGATTAAAGTCAGCATAGTCAACAAAAGTCAATCTTGTGCTTAATTGTAGTTTGACTATACTATTAGTCAATCACATAAATGTCATTGATTATTGAATTACATTGTTACCTGGTTGAAACTGAGATTAACAATTGGTATCAGAGCAGAAGATCAACAATTTGAAGCCATTTCAGACACAAAGTTGCAAGTTATTGTTGTTTTATTCATTCAAACTGGAATTAACAACCCTAATAATTAAGAATAAATATTTCAGAGTTAAAATTAAATATGTAAGTTATTTCAATTTAAATGACGGGGGTAGTTTTTTTTTTTATAAAGATAATGATGCGGTATTCTGTCATAATAGTATGACTCAATAATTATTCTGTATGCAAATGCATTTATTAGCTGGTTTTATAAAGTTCAAAGACCTTTTATAAAATTATATATATCCATCAATTATTTGTAAGCTTTCAGATTTAAAATATCATGTATTACTAAACAATACTGATACTAAATTACTAATTAAATCTTTTATCTAATAGCTTATAATATACTAGTTGTGTACCCCGTTCAATGCAGTGGGAGCTGTGAATTTTAACGATTTTGAAGTTTCACTGATTTTATTAGAGAAGATTAACGATGATATAAGTTACACTTGGTCTTCACATATTAATACAATGTGAATAAATAAAAGTTATGATTGCAATTACAGTCTATCGATGAAAAAAATTGTATGACAGTTTAAAATCCAATATATTTATAATCCAACATATTTAAACGACTCCACAAATGTGTTCGATTTACACAAGAGCAAAGAATCAAGAGATCGAGAACGAGACTGAGAGTTCAAGAGCAATTGAATGAGAGAACTTTTAATAACTCATGGTAAATATCAGTTTGAATCTCATCTTGGAGGATGAAGAGAAGACTAGAGGTATGAGAGGGTGAAGACATGAGTGAAAAATATCAAAAATATTTTGGGAATATGAAAAGAAAATGTAATAATGTGCATTGGTAACTTGCACTATATGTTATTTTAATTGTAGATTAACAGATTTTAAGACTAAATGCATAAAGTAGTAATACTTAATGCATTACGAGTTGTTTTAAAGAATTTTAAGACTTTGTCCATAAATGTATAGTACTTTATGCATTAAAAATTGTTTTTAAAATTTTTAATAAATCTGATTTATAAGGTAGTATAAATTATAAATAAATATATAGAAAATTATATAATCCTATAAAACAACATTAAAACAAATAAAATAATAAAAATATTTAGGTCAACAACATTGAATTTTTTTTTCTTCTTTTAAAAACTTATGGACTTAATTGGAATTATCCTAAAATTGGGGGTCAAGCCAAAAAATTGAGGGGGGTCAAAACACATTATATGTTAATAAAATATAAAATTGATTATATAAAAACAATTGTTTTCTATATTTAAGCAACATCATGAGCATAACCGAACAAAATCATATCTAAGGAGTTGTTTAACAGTTGTTGAATGATTTGGTACATGATGATTAAATGGTCAGAATGATTAAGATGCTCATATTATATAGTACAAAATGAAATATAATTGTTTATAATAAAAATAGGGCGTTTAATGGTTTAGGAAGACCAAAGATACAAAATCGTTCAGGGGCTGTTTGGCAATTGCTGAATAGTTTGGTGCAGAATGATTAAGTGGTTATAATGATTAACAAGCTCTCATGATATAGTGCAAAATGAAATATAATTGTTTGGTAATTGTGTACAATGAAATTAGGGCTCTTAATGGTTAAGGGAGATCCATGATACAAAATCATTCAGAGGGTTTTAGAACTATTAAAAGACAGATTTTTTTTTTGCCAAACAAAATTCACCTCTTAACGATTCAGATGTTGCCTATTAATGAAACTATTAGAAAGTAAACAAACAACTCCTCAGAGTGTTTTAGAACTTTTAAAAGGTATATATTTTTTTTGATAAACACGATTCACCTCTTAAAAATTTAGAGGTTTACTCTTAATAAACAAAGAACCCCCTTGTGGTGTTTTGTTTTTGTGAAGACCTCCATCTCAATAGTCAATACCTATTGATCCATAGGTAGAAGGGCTAAAGTAGCATTACCACTGAAGTATAAGTAGGTAAACTGTAAATATGAAATTTCTTCTTTTGCCCACTTTTCATCCCTTCAAAACGTTAAATGTCTCTTTTTAGTCCCTCCATCCTTTTCTGGCCCTTCATAAACAGAGTTTTACTCGAATCGACCAAACAAGAAGCAAACTAGGAAAACCCTTTTACCGCTCGGGGGGGTTTTAACAACGGTTTAAGGAAACCCGCATAATTTGAACCGTTCGAATTGAAAATTCAGTGAATTTCATAGAAAACTTTGGAGTTTTGAAGGCGTAGAAGCAGAATTCAGTGAATTTCATAGAAAACTTTGGAGTTTTGAAGGCGTAGAAGCAGAATGGATCGAATCGACACAGTGAAAGAGTTGCCTTTCCGGGTCGGGTTCACCGGTCACAGCGGCCATATTCGAATCGAGCCGCTACCTCCTGTTCAACAGTCCAGCCCCATTAACTCGCTACCGGAGTTTATACTTGTTAGTGCTTTATCTTGCTGATATGCTGTTTATGTTATCTTTCTAAATTTAAATCTTTTCTGTGGTTTTGTTGATTTTCCAGAAGGGGAATGGAACACCCTCTATATGATATAATGCCATATTGTGTCATTATGCTGAATGGAAATCTTGTTTGGTTTCTGAAATTCAACAAATTTCACAAAATGGACTGTAACTGTGGAAAAGAGAGAAGTAATCACCTCATCTTTTTCACCAACTGGCCTTTGGCCCAATGGAATTAGCCTATCTCTACCATCAAACTACAATGATTCTTTATGACAATGGTTTATTGATAAATTTATGGTTGGATGCCAAAAGAATCATCTCCTGAAGTCACAAGTTTTTTCTTATGGTCTTTAGAATGAATAGAGTAGTAATAGGATCTTTTAGTAAACTATATTAAGATTCAATTGGATCTGAATTATACCTTCATCACAATTTATACTTTTGTTTGGAATGTTTTGAAATTTAGTTCATAATCTAATACAGTGAGGGAAGATATTCCTGAAACTGCCATACAATCTTAGTTGGGACTTGGAACAACAATCTATTTAATGACATCATTGATTGTTCATTCCGTTTCAGTTGCGTTCAGTGGGTGAATTTGCTAGTATTATGGTTTTTTTCCTCTAATGTAGCAACTTTACTGGTTGATATAAGTCATATAACATGACATCATCAGTGTTTACTGAAAATATACATGGCCAAAAGAATTTGGCAAATTGCAACTGATAGATGGTGTTACCAAATTTGAATTTAATCTAAATAAAGCTTACAGTAAGAACTAAAAAGAGGCAAAATAGCTATAGAGAAAACAAAGTATGATATGCTTTGTATACAAATGTTATATTATAGATATGCATCAACGCAAAGCTTAATAATGTCTTGATAGCATTGATCATAAAGAATCTAGAAAAAATACATGTTCGGTTACAAAACAATATATTTTTTTGGTTAAAACTGAAACTGAAGGGGAGAGTTGGCTTTCAATCGTCTCGGTTTGGTTTTGTCCACCTGGGTTTTTTTTGGTTCAGTCTGGGTTTCAACTTACACACCCGCAGTTCGAACATAAACTTTTGGCTTGTTTTGAGTTGAACATTAACTGGTTATCATGCTGATGTGGTGAGTGATGTGGTATCCAACTCAGTATTATTTGCTGACGTGGTTAGTGACATGAATTTTTTTAATCTAAAATTAGTCATGATAACCAGTTAATGCTCCAACCGGTTACCCAGGTACTTAAATGTTTAAAACTTTACATCTTAGGTACCAAAATGGAAGTTCTGAAAGTACGTTACCCAAAATAGGAATCAAGTTAAAGTACGCTACCTTTTCATACAATTTGCCTGTCCTGATATGCCATTAGCATTCTGTATTATTGTTTGAGGTAATAAAGAAGTGGTTTTGTCAAAGACTAACATTACAATGTTGCCAAATACTTGACTCGTATTACAAGTTGGCATGCCATTATCTCTTGGTATCTCTTATCATTTCATCTTTCTTAGTGGTGGTTAATGATTTTTGAAGATCTCAAGTGTTTTAATTTGACCATTGTTTTGAATGTTTGATCTGAATTTGGTTGTTTTCTTATATGCTGATCCTCCATCCCACTGATATTGATTAGAGAAATTTTTTAGCGTTGAAAATTTTGTTTATCAATTGGATATTTTGCTTCTCTATGTTGTAGTTTCCTTTGAGTGACTCTCAGACTTAAGTTTTATATTTGAAAAAATGTGGCCTGTGAGTATATGCATATATTGTTTTGAATCATAAACAATAGTTTATGACCGTTGATAGGTGATTCAGACTTATTAGTTGCGTTAAAACACTAGCACCTCTTACTTTTTTGTCATGTAACACCTATGCTTTATGTTTCCAGCCACCTGCATTTGCTAGGGAAACACCAGAATCAATCAAAACGCTTGTTGAGGATAAATATCTCCTCCCAAGATTGGATCCTGATGAATTTTCTGCCGAAAACTCTGGAAGGCAGTGGGAGTTTGAGTGGTTTGATCAAGCAAAAATTCACTTAGAGCCAACATTGCCACGCTCTGTTGTAGTACCTGCATGGGAATTACCATTTAGACGGCCAGAGCGTGCATCAGAGCTTGAGAAATGGGAACCTGCATCTGTGCAGGTAGCTAATGCTGATGTCTGTACTGTGCACTGTTTTTAGATTTGTAAAAAGCTACTGCATGCAATGTTAAAACTCAATATTATTCTTTAAGGTAAATAGAGTGGAGTACTTAAGATATTCATAGTATTCTCTATGTATTTATAATTGTACTCTAATTCTATACATTTAATTGGACAAGGTTTATCAACTCTGCTTATTCCAGTAACCGCCTTGAAATGTATAAAGTTGCGTCATGCATGAATGTCACTTAAAAATTGATTTTCCTTGGTAAAGGTGTTCTAAATACCCTTCTTTGAAATGTTTTCACTTTTGGAGGGACATCCCTGTATTTTTACTTTCAAGTGGTGGAGAAAAGGAAAAGGGAGATCATAATCAATTCGAGTAAGAAAATTTTAAAGATGTTGCTATTATTTGGGGATTTCTAGAGAAAGAAACTGAAGCAATCTCATTTGGATGGATGGAGTAATACCTATTTGAGATTGAGGGGCATCATGAACATGAAATTGGTCCCTTACATTTTCAGGGAGTTGACTTATTATGATCACTTTTAGGTTGATGTGTCAGAACTCATGGTAGAAGCGGAGAATTCTATTGGTGTGCGCATTAGTGGACCTCCAAAGGATTTTGTGAAGGGAAGCATTAACAACCGTCCTTTTCGTCCAGGTGGTTTGGACGATTCTCAATCCATGGGAAGGACTTTTCCTGAGGGTGCTTCAAATGGTGAATGGGTACGGGAAGTGCTGAATGGTGCTCCTGCCCAAGTCATCCCTCCTAGTTTTAAAGAAGGAATGGATCTCGGAGAGCTCAAGGTTTGTTGCCTAAGATATGATATCATTAGTTACTTTGTGTATGCATGTTCTTATTTATGTTGTTTAACTTTTGAAGGGACATCCATGTTCTTGGATTATTCATGAAGATCAGAGTGTGCCCAAGACAACATCTGAGGTAAAGCTGGTCAGATATTCATTTGATCATGAATCCCGTTTTCAAGCTGGTGGAATAAAGTCGCATTATTTTCCACAAATATGCCCACACTTGAATATTGAGTGTGTAACGAGTTACTTTTAACTTACCATTACTTTGATGTAGATTAAGAAATCATCAGGACATTAAAATGGCAATGAAGTACTATAATAATATCACATTTGAAACTTAAAACAAAAAAACATTTCCTTCAATTTTGTAAATTTGAGAAGCAGAAGGTTTAAGTCTCAAAACCAAAATTGAATTTTTTTTTTTTTTTTGGATGGATGGAGTGATATTTATGTTCTCATTCTTTCAAGTTAATATCTTGTTACCTCTGCAGAGTACTTTATCTGTCCAGTTTGATGACTTATTTAAAAGAGCTTGGGAAGAGGATGTTACGGAACTAGCCATTGATGGTATGTCCAATTCAACTCTCCTGGGGTTATTCTTCCCTTCCTTTTCCTAGTGGAGTTCTTTAGTCTTTTGAATGGCTATTCTTTGGTTGACTTCTAATGAAGATTTAGATGATATAAAAAAAGTATAATTATTTAAGCGCTCCTATGTGAACATGCCAACAAGCAACATAAAACACACTACAACCATCTGTGGAGACAAAAATTATTTTTATGTAAGTTCCCCTATGCTAACATGCCGACAAGCAACATAAAACACACTATAACCGTCAATGGAGGCAAAAAGGCTCAGATCCAAGCCTGGAAGTATTCTCCTCTGGGTTTGATTAAATTGGCAGGGTACAGTAAGGGTAGCAGAGACATAAGCTATAGATACAAGCTTATCATGGCTTCATGTCATTGCTTTGCTTTCCACTTCTGGATTGCCAAATCACTGATATATTTGCTTATTCTTGCAATGAAATATGATAGCGGTGGAGAATTTCTCGTATGATCAACGTAGATAGGTTTGGGCATCACATTCTAGTGCTGTTTCAGAGTTCATGCCTGTATCTACATGTAGCTTTTCCCAACTCAATTCCATTCCAATTTCTTCAGCTAAAAAAATAAATAGACCAAAGTAGTGTTTCTATTTACGCCTAATATTAATATTAACATTTTTTTTGTGTGTGTATGTGTGTTTGGGGGGGGGGATTGGAAATTCCTACCATGATTCTAAATAACTCGTAATGGCCTCATAATGGCGCGTTATGGCGTCAAGGCTTGGCTTTGTTGCAACGTTAACCCATGTGGCTCCACTCTAAGGCTTGGCTTGCATTGTAACGTGTTATGACGCATTACGATGTCTTATTTTGTAAGGTGTGGGTTTTTTTTAAATATAACTTGAGTGATAAATGATAATGATGTATGAGACCTAAAACTTAAATAAACATAAAAAAGAAACTTAAAAACTAAAACCCTAAATAGGTAAATACTTACTCTCATTCCCGTACATGAAGAGTCGAACAAGAATTTTTGAAAATTGAAGACAATAGTGAGTAGAGATTCAAGAGATTTAATCCCGATTTTGCACTCTTGATATCATTTTTTTATAAGCTCTATATATTTGGTATTAATGGTTCTTTCTTTTTCAGTTTTATTACTTTTTATGAATTTAATTTGTTCTACAGTCTCGTTCAAAACACTGACACGCACAAGTATGTGTGTATCTATCTGTCTATAATATATATGTGTGTATATATATATATATAATTATATATGTGTGTGTGTGCCGCCTTAGGGTACGCCTTGAAAAATGCCGTGACCTCACCATATACACGTAAGTCTTGAGGCTTGACCTCGCTGCCACACCCTGCCTCACGTCGTTTAGAACATTGATTCTTACTTATATTGTGAAACTCTGAATTTCAAATGAGGTGTAATTGATTGTTTGTTGGTTGGGTTGGTGATTAGAATAGAAAGATCTATAAGCTACACATATCTTTGCCACTTGAATGAATAGCCAATACTTCTTAAACCACTGTGAATATGGTTCATGAGAGTTATATGACTTGCTTGTACATCCATCTAATGTTCAGTGATTATGATGAAATTTCCTCGGTATTGATTTGTATGAATAACATGTCAAAGCTAAATAATGTTGATAATTAAAATTGTAGATGGAAGAACTCTTATGCTGTAGATTTATGTATGTAAAACCAAAGACATGCTCTAAATTTTGTAGGTTGCTCTCATCTTTTTTTCATCTGTATTACGAGCGTCTATGTTTGAGAGGCTAATAACATTACTGGCCATGTAGGAGAAACATCAGAGTTAGAAATTGAAGTAATCGAGGCCGGATCTCCCAAGTCCATTTCACCGGAAGTTGAAAACAAGTCAGATCTTCCTGTTGGTGCACTTGACTCTGAATCATCTGTTATAGATCAGATTTTGTCAACTGGATCTGAAGGATTGGGTAAAGGATTGGATGATTCTGGTGATGGTGGTCGACAACAACCAAATGAGGCAAAGGATGATTCTAGTGATGGAGGTCGACAACAACCAGAGGCAAAAGTATCTTCCCATAAGAGTTCACCATTCTTGCGTGTTCTTGTTGATGCTTTTGCTTAGTGGGTGCATTTGTTTTGCAGGTCTGGGCTGTTACTGGAGGTAGTGATGGGATTGCAGACCATTTTGATGAACTTGTTCCTGACATGGCATTGGATTTCCCTTTTGAACTAGATGCATTTCAAAAGGAGGTAACAGTAGTTTGTTATTAAATTTAATATTAAAGTTTTATACCATAATTCATCATTTTAGGCCGACTATAATTTACTAATGATTTCAAGATAAGTAATAACCACCATGACAGTCTTGATAATATGGCTAGAACTCCTTATATTACATTACTTTGATAATGGTCGTAAAATTAGTTGGAATGACCGCTATTGCTTTTTGTAAAGTTTTGATGCATAATGTTTCCACAGTTGTGAAGCATCTGCTTTTTCTTTGTTTTCTTGGGTATCTCAAGTTTCTTTGGTCTTGAACTTCACTTTGGTGTAGTGGAAATAACATACATTTTCCAATCCTACAATGCTGATCTAGTAATGGAAACCACTTCATTGATATCAGCTATCTTCCAATTGGTGGTTACAGCCCAACTTTATAGGGGCAAATTGATGGCAAGATCTCTCTAGTTGTAGATGGCGAGTTATGGTCCAATTGCTAATTACATAATGCATATACACACATGCTTACTCTTCTTATTGGGTTTTTTTTATGAACACAAATGTGCATGGATTATACGTGGCTTCCTTATGCTTCTATTTAACATTTTTGTTTCACATGAACTTTCCAAATACAAATTCTAATCATCGACCCTGTCTAAGAGACTACTTTGGATCAAAATCAGGTTTATTAACACTATGCCAGATGCATAGAAAAGAGCGTCTCAAGAGGATAAATATTCTTAAAATTGCAAGTGATCCAAAGTGGATGATAGTTTTCCATTAAGCATCACTAGCTATACCAAGTTAGGCCTTCTCCAATGTTGCCTCAAAAACTCTAAACTTGGAGTTTTTTGAGTAAAATTCCATCTCCAATCAACATGCTAAATTTGGAGGGATGATTAGTAACACTCTGAATTTGGAGTAACACAATCCAATATTCATGGCTCTGAAAAATTAATTTTTATTTTAACCCTTTTGGTTATTGAACTTTTATTTTATACGCTTATCGTATTCTGATTAATTCACGTAGACTCGCTGCTGAGTTCTTCATTCACCTGACTTTTCCTGATCCGGCCACTGACTTTAGTTGATCGAGAGCTTTGTTCAGTTGCCAACTAGACTTAACRAAGTTCAAATCACTCTCTAGTTGGCAATACAATAGGTAGAGTGATGAAAAAATTGTTATACATAAAAAGTAAACAGTATCATACACAAAATCTATCATCTCTTATACCCTAGGTAATGCTACATAGTCGGGCTATGGTAATTGAGAGATTCGGTTAGTTGTAATAACTAAAAAGCGTAGTCGTGGGCTGGGGTAGGTGTCAGTCGGTTAGTCAAAGTTGTTGGGCTAGGGTAGTACAAAAGCAGGTGGGCAACATTTTTGATAATTGGAGTTAAGTGCATACTGTGGGAGAGATCTCAACCTCTTGAAAGCTGAAAAATAGTGGTGCGCATCATTCTGATATCGTTTCATTCTCTCAATTCTTATAGAAACTACATACCTGATCATCAAAGTGTTCATCGATTGGTATCAGAGCAGCATGATCTACGAGATGAGTAGATGACAATGAGCGTTTCATCAAGAATTGACAAAATCGAGGGGAGTTTAGGGATGATGCAGGCCATAGTCGGTTTCTTTGAAGAAGATGTACAAGTTGTAATGAAGCAGACAGAGCTGTTACTCAAGATGCAGGAAACGAGATTTAGGAAGAAGTTGCCGCAATCGGAAGAAGAGAAGTTGTAGATTCTTCCAGAGGGACGATAGGGACTAGATGGGGTTCTGCGATCCAGGGAAGAAGATTGGAGATACCGTTATTTGAGGGAGTGGATTCCGACTGTTGCGTGATGTGTGCTGAAAGGTACTTTGTGTTGGACCGATTAACTGAAGAGGAGAAGATTGAAGTCCTCGTAACTTGTTTTGAGGGCACCGGTTCCAATGGGAGAACCAGTGCCAACCATTAACGAGGTGGAACGAACTCTAGGCTATGCTGTTATGATAGTTTAGGATGGCGGTTGGTGGAAGTTTTAGTGAGGCATTTTTGGGCCTGAGACGGGACCGAGAATGAAGATATAAAGAAATTTGTGGCTTGAACTAAAATTAAATGTTGCGCCATCGGCACTCTATCACGCTGTAGGACCCCCACCATTTCTCCTCTGCTGCCGGCAACTTCAAGGCGTAAAAAAATTAACTTGAAAAGTAAACTGAACTTTAACATTGATTAGAAAAGATATATTACAACCTTAAAATACAACAAAGCTACAGAAAGTACAATGAAACGGAAGTACACAATATTACAACCAGAATAGAATCAAATTAAAAGGAATTATGACCAAATCTAAAGAGAAACTCAAAACATTTGAGGATATTAATGTAATATTAGCAATTAATTGTGTATATATAACTTTATTTTGTCTAAAAAGTTCAGAGTACATTTTCAAGTTTAGAATGGGAATGTTCTCTTGTTACTCCAAATTTGGAGTACATTGGAAAAGACTTGGATCCCAGTGAAAAGTTAGTTGGTTGGTTTGGATACACTATTACATCTTATGTTATGAATGAGATGCCTATTTTATATATTTATTTACCTTATTAAAACAATGGATATTTTTTTGCTGTGTGATTACAGGCTATATATTATCTTGAGAAGGGGGAATCGGTTTTTGTTGCAGCTCATACATCCGCAGGAAAGACTGTTGTTGCAGAGTATGCCTTTGCACTAGCATCAAAGGTATGGCATCTCTCTGTATCAAGCCATTACTCAATGTTTTTATGTCATTGCAGGCTTTTATTATTATTATATTATTATTATTATTATTATTATTATTATTATTATTATTATTATTTGTTCTTGTTATTTTTTTCTCCACTCCTAAATTCTTCTTCTTTGTTTTATTTCATTTCTCTTTCCTTCCTGGGACAAAAAGAATTCACATAATCATTTTCTCAAAATCTTCTCTTTCGTTTCTCTTGTCGTCGGTCTTCACAGAAACAACCTCTCTACTCCTAAGGGTGGTGATACCTTGTGTGGGATTTTTTGGGTTCATTTGATTTGGATTGGTTTTTATGTGAACCAGAATTCCAGAAGTAATTAACTTCTATTGTAGATGGGTCTTGTATTAATTATTATGTACTCATTTATGAAATCTCCTGAATAAAGATGCTTTTTGTGTCATCCTTTTTGCTTCTTGTCCATTTTCCTAGGCTTTAATTTGCTTAAAGTAACTGATGCTTGTCTTATGCAGCACTGCACGAGAGCAGTATATACTGCTCCCATCAAAACAATCAGCAACCAAAAGTACAGGGATTTTTCTGGAAAGTTTGATGTTGGTCTTCTCACTGGGGATGTTAGCTTGAGGCCAGAGGCTTCCTGCCTCATCATGACAACTGAGATATTAAGATCAATGCTTTACAGGGGCGCTGATATCATACGTGACATTGAATGGGTAAACCGAGTAATATTATGCTGTAACTTGTTTCGTTTTGGCGATATAGTTATTTTGTTAATCAAATTTTTTTATTCACTGGTGTCTCTTACCTTTTTTTTGATAATACATATGAGGGTTAATTGTATTGGTTGGATTTCTATTCCTGGTGTGTAGGTTATATTTGATGAAGTGCATTATGTAAATGATGTTGAAAGAGGGGTTGTTTGGGAAGAGGTTATCATCATGCTTCCAAGGCATATCAATTTTGTTCTCCTCTCTGCCACGGTAATTCTGTTTACATATAAGCACATAAATTTAAGAGTTCCTATACAAAATATTGATTATTTGTTATCTAGCTTATTATCAATTTTATTTCAACAAGAAACATAGAACTGGAAATTTTGGAGTTCAGGGATACAGAATAAATAAGTTTGTTAACCTTTGACATAGAAATCTCTGTTTTGGTGTTAAATTTGAGTGGGGATTACTATTTTCTTTTGTATTTGCAGGTACCTAATACAATTGAATTTGCCGATTGGATTGGCAGGACAAAGCAAAAGCAAATCCGTGTAACTGGGTAAATTTATTACAATCAGAAATGGGACACTATAAAGCTTTACGCTCTCTGTCATATTTTCAACTTTTGCACCTTTAATTTATTTTTTTGTAATATGTATGGACAACAGCATCCCACTATAAGAAACTGACTGGAAGACAGGAAGAGTAATAATGCAGATTTTAAGAAAATTGTTGTCAGGAATTTATGTATCGTCCCACAATTTGGGTGCACTTCTGATTAAGAAATCTCTATCCTAGTACTTCCATACTTGATTTTGACAATATTTTTATTGTAATACTATTTCCATAGCCTAGAGCAATTATTGACTTTTTTGTCTACAAGGAAAACAATTCCTATTGGTTTTGGATTTAAAAGCAATCCATTTGACACTCAAGGCCAAGTATGGGATCTCTTTTCTATTTTCCTTTATGGGGGGTGGGCAGTGGGGGAGGGGATAGGGGTGGAGTGAGTGTTATCGCTGATTATGTTCAACCTCTGCCTCATAATAATTGTCATAGTTTGACTTATTTTTCTGTGAAATCAGAACTACCCAAATTCAGAATTAGAATGAAATCTTTGACTTTTGTAACACCAATATTTGCAAGAACATATTCTACATTTTATCCCCTCCAGAATTTTTTTGGGAGGGGGGGGGGGAGGGGATGGTACCCCAAATGGATAGTTTCAAGTAAGAGGATCTATGATTCAGAAGGGGGTGAGGTCGAGGATGACATAACACATTGCATATGGACCGGGTGGATAAAGTGGGGGGCTGCCATGGGGGTGCTGTGTGACAAGAAGGTCCCCCTAAAACTGAAGGAATTTTTTTACCAAGTAGCCATTAGACTAGCTATATTATATGGGTCGCATTGTTGGGCAACAAGGATGGCCCATGAAAGGAAGTTGGAGGTTGCAGAAATGAGGATGCTTAGATGGGCCTGTGGGCGGACCATGCATGATAGGATCTTGAACGAGGTCTACTGGGTGGTGCTGGGAGTTGCGCCCATCACAGAATAGTTGAGGCAGGGAAGATTGTGGTGGTTTGGCCATGTACATAGGAGGCAGAGGAGGGTAGAAATTGTGATGGTCGACGGAGTGAGGAAGGGCATGCCGAGGACTTGGGATGAGCAGGTGACGTTAGAATGACGACTTCAGGTATTTCCGAGGGCATGAGCTCTGATAGGAGCTGTGATGCAAGATTAGGGTAGCAGACTAGGGGTGGGGTCTGTTTTAGCTCCCTTAGATGGGAGGAAAGGATCTGGAAAAAGTAGAGGTTGGGCGTAGGATTAGTGAGCCGGCAGTTAGACCCCCTGATCTCTAGGTTAAGGTAGGTGTGTGTAGCCCTTCCTACCTGGGTTACATTTTTGTGGCCTTGCTTCTGTTTGTCTGTTTTTTTTGCTTGTTTGTTATTTTTTTGGTTGCTTACCTCTAACTAGTATGGTAGCATTGTAATCTGCAGCACTGCCTTTCTTGTCTTCAAGTTCTTCTTTCTGAATGTTCTGTTATGTTCTTTTTCCGCATTTTCCCCCATACTATGCACAAGCCCCCCCTCCAAGTGGAAAACACATAAACCCAGTGAACCAACTGTATGTTTGTGGTTCTACCAATCCTACAGGTTACACTGTAAACTTACTTATCTATCTATTCTTTAAATTTTTCTGACAGGACTACCAAGAGGCCAGTCCCGTTAGAGCACTGCCTTTTTTATTCTGGAGAACTCTACAAAATCTGTGAACTCGAGAAGTTTATACCCCAGGGACTGAAAGCAGCTAAAGATGTCTATAAGAGAAAAAATATGGGCACCCCAGTTGGTGGTGGTTCTGGAACATATCCATCACTTCCAGCAGCTCATGCCAGTGTCCACTCTCAAAAACCCAACAGTTTTATGAGGGGAAAACAAAACAGGCAATCTGGTCCCCAGAACTTGGGGAACTTTGTTGGTGCTGGTCGGGGCAATCAAAACTACAGTGGTGGAAACAACAATTGGGGTTCAAGAATATCAGAAAAATCTCTGTGGTTGTCACTCATTAATAAGCTGTCAAAGACATCCCTTTTACCTGTACGTAAGAATGCTTCAATGCTCATATTGAAATCTGTGTAGGATCTACATGAACTCATCATTTATCATTATTCATTCTGCTTCATGGATTTCCATACTTGAAATGGTTTGTTTAAGAAGTGGCTCTGATGAATCTACTAGTATGAGTGTTCAGGCAGTTCCCCTTTTGTGGCTAATTGGAAATAAATTACATGTTTTCCTTTTTTGCATTTTGTGCTCATCATTACATGAGTTGCAATGCATTTGTGCTATGGCATATTTATCTATTTTTGCAATATAGTATAGTTTTCTATTTTTATATCTGTTACCGAATGGTTATCTGACTTGCAAAGGTCTTGATGTGTTGTTATAGGTGGTGATATTTTGCTTCTCGAAGAATCGCTGTGACAAATCAGCCGATAATCTGCGTGAAACTGACCTCACAAGTCGTTCTGAGAAGAGTGAAATTCGCATTTTCTGTGACAAAGCATTTTCGCGGCTAAAGGGATCTGACAGGAACCTACCACAGGTTTTGTACATGCATATATATATACATACATACATACATACATACATACATACATACATACATAATACAAGTTATTTAAATCAATGTTAACACCAGGCTTACTAGAATTAAATGTGCTATTTTTTGTGCACCATAGATTGTCAGAGTCCAAGGTCTTCTTCACAGAGGGATTGGTGTACATCATGCCGGCCTGCTCCCAATAGTCAAGGAAGTAGTTGAAATGCTTTTCTGTCGTGGCGTTATTAAGGCAAGTTATTTATACCGCTGCTGGCCATAAGTAAGATGTGCACTTTAAGATTCCCAACTGTGGATGCGTAATCAATTACTTAGATTTTATTTCTCATACTTTTTTATTTGGTAGTAACATTCATAGGTTTTTACTGATAGTTGAAAATGCAGTGTTGGTTTGGTAACATAGTTGAAGTTTCCTCATGTTCAATTAGCATTTGTTTATTCATTGGCTGTTTTATTGATGTTTTTTTTTCATGAACCTATTTCTTTTTCTGTTCTGTAGATTTTATTTTCGACTGAGACATTTGCAATGGGGGTTAATGCGCCAGCTAGAACGGTGAGTCATCATTGATGGCACTGCTTTTGTTACGTGTTTGAGTTTTGCAGCTTTATTTCTTGTATGCATGTTTCTAAAAGTCTTTCTACCAGCCTTATCACCAACTTGAAAATGCATCGTGGCAGGTTGTTTTTGATACCGTAAGGAAGTTTGATGGAAAGGAATTTAGACAGTTACTACCTGGAGAATACACACAGATGGCTGGCCGTGCTGGTAGGAGAGGGCTTGATAATATTGGTACTGTTCTTGTGATGTGTCGTGATGAAATCCCAGAAGAGAGTGATTTGAAGCTTGTCATAACTGGCAGTGCAACCAGGCTTGAATCTCAGTTTCGGTTGACATATATCATGATATTGCATCTCCTTCGTGTTGAAGAATTGAAGGTATTGGTTTCATTTATATTTACTTAATAGATATGCTCACCTGATCATAGTATAATATGATTAGTGTTAACACCAAGTGTGTTACATTTTAGGTCATCTAATAATCAAGTAAAAACCAATCAGGCCTTGTAAAGTTGGGTCAATCGCATATTTATATGATTTCAGAATACCCTTAAAGGTGGAAACTTGTTTAAAAGAATTGTTGGGTCAGCCTACTTTTCTGATGTCAAATGAGATTTCATTTGGCCTTTACACTTTTGATGTGAAATTGATATATATACTCGGAGTACCATATTCCCAATATTCTAGAATGTAGTACTGCCACCTTACACCTAACCATGCAAAGTTGCAAACCACCTTCCTAACTAATAATTTAAAAAACATAAAGATGCAAACGTCATCTGTCATCCACTAAGCGTAAATAATGTAGGGTTGCGATTCCATCACCAAAATTGCTGGTAATTATGATTCTTGGAATACGTTGCCATATGATATAAGATATTATGGTCTCAGATTTTTGTCATGTATATTTGTGCTGTTGGGATTTTCAGAAGATTGTTAAATATTCTTAGGAGATAAGGTCTCCACCTAAAACAGACCTTCCTCTTTGTTTCTTATTTTATGATAATGCCAATGCAAATGTTTGAATCTATAACCTTGCTGCAGTGAGAAGTGTTGAGAACATAGAGAAACTTTTATGCTTTTTAATTTTGGTAAGCTGCCAAAAGGTCTGTTATCTAATATTGGCTGAACAATTTAGGTGGAGGACATGCTGAAAAGAAGTTTTGCTGAATTTCATGCTCAGAAAAAACTGCCAGAGCAACAGCAATTGTTGATGCGAAAGCTTTCTCAGCCTACAAAAGTTATCGAGTAAACACTTTGTCATCCCGATCAGATTCAATACGATTTTACTTTTCAAAGATTGTTTTCTTATAAACAGTAATTGTTTTATGTAGGTGCATAAAGGGTGAGCCAGCAATTGAGGATTACTATGGATGGTACTTGGAGGCTGAGATGTACAGCAACCAGATAACTGAGACTATTATGCAGTCTTCAGTTTGTCAGCCTTTTCTTATGCCAGGAAGAGTGGTGGTTGTGAAATCACAATCTGTGAGTTCTTTCTCATCTCCATTCTCTCACATCTTATTTGAGATTGTTTTTGGAGACTTTTTTCTTTCCTATTGGAGGATTATCTCGGTGAACAAATTGTCTGTTATGCTTAATATCTTCAGTTCGAAAAGCTACTTCAGATAGTTTTTCAATAAGCTCTAGGATCTTTTTCACCTTTTTTTTTCCAATTATGCCTCTTATATTTTCAAACCGAGTAATTTTTCAAGATATCCTTTAAAGTCATTTTACATTATCGTCTAGCTTTTCAGCTAACTGTAGCTTATCCAACAGCTTAGCTGAAACAGCCAGCTTTTCAGCTAACATCCAACTTATGAGCCAACAACTAGCTGAAACAGCTAGCTTTTGAACTTGCTCTTTAGCTGTTTACCAAACATTAACAATACTTACAGTTTCCAGAGTTTATGTAATTGACAGGGAGAGGACCACTTACTAGGAGTTATCTTAAAGGCACCTTCCTCCTCCAATAATAAACAATACATCGTTATGATGCTTACACCATCTTTACCAGCTACATTACAAAGTTCCTCAAGTGGTGATGCTTCACAAAAGAAAACAACTGCTGGTATCCAGATATTAATACCAAAATCAAAACGTGGTATGGATGACGATTATTATTCTTCTGCCACCGCACGCAAGGGAACAGGTGTTGTCAACATTAAAATGCCCCACCGTGGTAGTGCTGCTGGGGCTAATTATGAGGTCCGAGAAATTGATACTAAAGAATTCTTATCTATATGCAATGCCAAGATTAAGATCGATCAAGTTGGGCTTTTGGAAAATGATAGCAATGCAGCTTATTCCAAAACGGTACAAAATCTTTTAGATAAGAAATCCAATGGAAACAAGTACCCTCCAGCCCTCGATCCACTTAAAGGTATATATTTTCGCATCTTCCTTTTTTTCATTTTACGCATGAAAAGGTGTTTAACGTTAATGATTTCCAGTGCTGTTTTACACTAAAGTTAACAGCTGAGGTGACTCGAACTGGTGACGACTTAGAGGTCTTACTAGTTGAACTACCCCCCAAGGGGTATTTGTTTATTTTATTGCAGTTTGTTGCTTGTGGTTTTCCTTCAAATTATTATGAACTTTAATGTCAGATTTGAAGCTGAAAGACTTGAATCTAGTGGAAGTTTACTACAGATGGAATAACCTATTGCAAAAGATGTCAGAAAACAAGTGCCACAATTGTGTTAAGTTGGGGGAGCACATAAAAATAGCTAGAGAGATAAGGAAGTATAAAGAGGAAGTTAATGCACTAAAATTTCAAATGTCGGATGAAGCACTTAAGCAGATGCCTGATTTTCAGGGTCGTGTACGTACAGTATCACCTTTTTCTTATTCCGTTTAACATTATACTTTGTTACATTGTGGGGTGGGATTTTGCAGATTGATGTCCTCAAGGAGATTGGCTGTATAGATACAGACCTTGTGGTTCAGATCAAAGGCCGGGTTGCCTGTGAGATGAATTCGGGAGAGGAATTGATATGCACAGAGTGCTTATTTGAGAACCAGTTGGATGATTTGGAACCAGAAGAAGCTGTGGCGTTGATGTCGGCTTTTGTATTTCAGCAGAGGAACGCTTCTGAACCTTCTCTTACTCCGAGAATGTCACAAGCTAAACAAAGGTCTCTCTCTCAGATGTTTAAGTTTTTCTGCTCTTGATGCACATAAAGTGAAAATGTTAAACGACCTAAAACGAATTGGAACTCAGAATGCAATCAACTCTCTTAGCATGCCCTCTTTTTTCATCATATTTTTGTCATCTTATTTGATCATAATTTACAACGTGATGCAGGTTGCACGATACAGCTATCAAACTTGGCGAGCTTCAAGCACATTTCAAAATACAGATTGACCCTCATGAGTATGCTCGAGAGAATCTCAAGTTTGGACTTGTTGAAGTCGTTTATGAATGGGCAAAGGTTCTCTCTCTCTCTCTCTCTCACATGCACACACATTTTCACACACAAATAACGAACGAATAGCATGCATGCACATACATACATCTTCTTTTTGTTAACCATGGGTGTCTAGGCCAACTTGCACGCACCTTGACTAATCCCATGGGGCCCTAAAGATAAGGGCGAGGAAAATCCCCAATGGCCCTGCCGAGACTCGAACTAGCAACCTATAATAGGGAGCCCCATGACATAACTACATCTTTGTTGCATGTTTATATGGAATGAATGTGTGCGTTTGGGATGCAGGGTACTCCATTTGCGGATATATGTGAACTGACTGATGTCCCTGAAGGGCTTATCGTAAGAACCATCGTGCGGCTGGATGAAACATGTCGTGAATTCAAAAACGCTGCAGCCATCATGGGTAACTCTGCGTTATGCAAGAAAATGGAAGCCGCTTCAAATGCCATAAAACGCGATATTGTTTTTGCTGCTAGTTTGTACATTACTGGCTTGTAGGAACTTTTTGGTCATTTTATTTCATTTAGGAACCTTGTGTGTATCATTAGGTTGAGTACATTGACAATGTTAAGTTAGTAACCAAAATAGTGTAACCTTGTACGTTTTTTAACTCGAATTTTAAAATAACTTAAACAAACTATGCTTTTGTTTCTACTTCGGAATTTGTTAAATTAGAAAATTGGTTTCTTTTTGGTGCAATTTACTGCATTTTCTCAAAATCCATTGAACAATATTAAGTATCATAATTGTACTTTGGTTTTCTGAATTATTTTTTAAGTTTCCTTTTTTTTTTATTAACCTGGATATCCAACCTGCTATGCGAGTCGATTAATCCCAGAGCGATCACCTGCTTTGCAGATAGTCTTGAGTCATCGTATTTAAACCTTTGTGGCCACAAGAGGATTTTTATTCCTCCTTGGATTTGAACTTGACCTTTGGAGCCAAGCTCAAACCAATCAGTCACAAACCAAAAAGCCTAGAGAATGGACCACATTTTTCGAACCGGAGATCAAGACTTGACTTCTATTAGATCGGATGAAACCGTCCAAACTTTGGGTTCGGATCCGAACTGGTCCAAACTTTTTCCAGACTACATGGATCTGGCCGAGATGGTACTCGATTTCACAATCATGATCCCTTAATAATTACATTCATGGTTTTCGTCTCATATTCAATTTCGTTTAATCAAATAAATAATTTAAGTTCTTATGGTCCAAATCATGAGATACAAGTAAGATCTCAACCACTGGACCTAGCTTCAAATCATATATTAGTATGGAGTCACCGCATTTGAACCTCCTTAACCACAAGAGGATTTTTTATTCCTCCTTGGATTCGAACCTGTAACCTCCAGGTATTTTCCTTGTTCAAACTTACTGAAATTAGTTATGAATAGGAGGTGATGTGCTAGATATTGTATCTTTACAACACTAAGTGGTAACTTGTACGGAAATACATGTGTCCACGCTATTGCATTTTTTATGTAATAAAATGGTAGGAACCAAACTAAGTAGCTTGTCAACCTAAAAAAAGAGGCGTCGTGGATGGCATACTCGTATTCTACATCGATATATATTTTAGGTTGCAAGATCTCAAGGTAAAAGATATATATTTTATGGAACAACAAATCTCTTTACTTAAATAAACTTTCTCTGGTGTACTTCCCAAGTCATTCAAGTTGATGTGTTTTAACTGACTTATCTCTAAGTCCACTACACTTTAACACTTTAACAAGTGATCAACTTGTCAATGGTTGTCATTTTTTTTATTTATAAACTCAAATGAAATAACGGAACATCATTATTAAAAAACAATGTCATCATTCCTTTGGTTTGTTATCTTTATCTCTAAAGGACCACTACAATAGCAACGAACGAATCAAAAAAAAAAAAAATGTTAGAAAATAGTCTCATTAAAATTAAAGATACCAAAAGAAGAACAAAGCCAATTTACAACACCACCACTAATAAAAGTCAGGGAAATTTATTAAAATAGTCATTTTTCAAGGTTGGTTTCACCTCTTAGTCATTTTCTTTTCAAATTTACCAAAATAGTCATAGGTCCACCAAAATCCACATCTGCAATTGTGGACCTAACTAAAAGACAAAAAAAAAATACACTTTCTACCCAGTCCGCAAACAAGTTTACATTTTTCACCCCAGGTCCACAAAAAAATTTACATTTCTCACCCAGGTCTGCAAAAAAATTACATTTTTCATCCAGATCCGCAAAAAAAAAAATTACCGACCTAGGGGCATTTTAGTAAACCTTGTAAAGTAGTGACTAAAAGGTGAAATCAACCCGTAAAAATGGCTATTTTAATTAATTTCCCACAAAAATCACAAAATAGATGACAACCAAAATCAAATGATAAAGAAACCAAGAATTACATAAATTGATAAAAATGAAAGAACAAAAATTGCATACTTAGGGGGTGTTTGGATAAGCTTATTTAAGTGACTTATTGACTTATTTCAGTTTGGTACCGGAGATAAGTTAAAACGGAGTGTTTGGGTAAAAAAAAAAAAAAGTGCTTATACCGGTACCAAACCGGTAATAAGTTGTTTTTGATAAGTTAATCCATAGTAACTTATGAAAATTGACTTATTACCGATTTACCATTTTAACCCTGTCTAACCCTAATCGATCACGTCTCCAAAATCGATCAGATCTCCAATACGTTTCTCCAAAATCGATCCTTCTCATCGATCTCTTCTCCAGGTATCGATCTCTTCTCTTCTCCAAAATCGATCCTTCTCATCGA